GTTGTCAAGAGTTGATTGATTATTATATAAGTCTTGTCGCACTCAGCTAAATGCATACCTAGGCAACGTATTTACATGTATCAGATGAATCGCATACGCTCATTAGCATTCAATATTCCAAGTCGATGCAAACAAAGTCATTTGAATGCCTGCTTAGCGATATCTATGTATCTATAGCTCTCGGCTGCAATATATATATATATAGCCACAATAACTTAGTTGCGAGTGGGCCAAGCCCAAGAACATCAACTAGACTACACTTAATTTCAAGCACCTGAAACCAAGCGCTGGCCACTAGCATTGATATGGCCACAATTCTGCCTTGATTACGATACTCGCAGACAAAACAAAAAAAAAGAAAAATATGTTTTAATAATGTTCGCTCCAAATGATTTGGCAATCGAAATTTGATACAACGAGCAGCGAGTCGGAGTCGAGTGCATAAATTACCAAGCTAAACGCAAGTAATTCTCATAAAAACAAATGCACAGAATGCACGAGTACGATTACGATTAGGAGTACGGCTAGGGGTGCGGATCGGGGTACGTGTACGGCATGGGGTACTCAGATTGCAGGCGGCCCCCTCCCCTCCTGCCCAGAAGCCTTTCATACGCGCTCGAAACGCGGCCAACACACAATGGCCCCAAAATGGCAAATGGCGGCAGCCAAAAAGCCAAGCGGGGTGCCGAACTTTAAGGGGAAGCGGGGCAGAGGGGGGGACAAGGGGCTGCGGGTGTTAGGCAATTTCCATTAAATGCAAATGCACACACAACGAACAGTGGGCGTTTTGCGCGCGATTCACAAGCGACAATAGACGCGCGCGCGCGTTTTGCTATTGATGCACATTTCAACAGGTTTTCATGTGGAAGAGCCTTGTTTGCCAGTTGCTTATTTTAATTAAATTGCAATTACCTCTGCTTAATAATGTTCTCTTCAATTTTATTGTAAAGGACAAATGTGGATACAGCCAAATCGCGTGCATTTGGCGCGTTTTTTGCCGCCTTTTGTTAGTAGATTTCAGCGGGTTTTCAGTTTCGCTGCCTCTGCAACTATTTTTATGACATTTAAACAATTATTTTCGAACACTGGCAAACAGTTGTTAAAAATATCATTTAATGCGGCTGCCGGCCAAGCCCAGCCAAATGGCGGCCAACTCGTTGCCTCGGCTGGTGTCAACATGTCTGAGACTGCCAGGCGCTGCTCTGACGTTGCCACCAATTGTAGGAGTTGTTATTGTTGTCTTTGTTGTTGTTGCAACGCCCCGCGGCGTAACATGCGAGCTGTGTTTATACCCTAACCCTATCACAAAGTATGCACACGGAGAGAAAAAAGTCGGTCTAAAGAGAAATCAATTCTTTGTTCATCATTCACAGCTGATATTGTTTCAGTTTAAACTTAATATAAGATTAGTTTTATTGCTGGGTAATAATTATCTTTATTTAAGTATTGGCGGTATTAATGCGTCTTAAAATAAAAACAAATCTGAGTTACATTAAGACTTGACTTCGTTTTAGAAGAAGATTGATAAGGCTTAAAATATTTTATTCCATTTGTGAATTTTGTCTTGAAAAAGTCATACTTTAAATCAAAATTACATACTTGAATCAAGCCAGTCTGATCTAAGCATACTTTGAATGTCAACTTTGCTTAACTTAAGCATAAAATTCTTTTGATTAGGAACTGGTTAACATAGTTACACACCTGTTAGTCTATACTTGTTTCAATTTTTGATTTTTGTCTCATAAAAGTCATACCTAAAATAGAAATTTTAAACTTGAATCAAGTCAACGCTTCTCATACTGTGTAAGTCGACTTTACTTAAGCATAAAATGCTTGGGATTAGGATCTGCATGGATATAATTATACATTTTTTTCTTCCTTTTTTTCTATGATTTCATTTATCTAACGTACATTATGTGTCTGCAAGAGTATTTCGCCTTCGACTAATTGCAGTTCTTGTATCATATTTTTAAGTCTTTTGATTTAATATTTTGCAGCCGCCTAAAAACTTGCCAAAAAATTATTATGAACCTGTTGTTTTTGTTGTTGTTGTTGTTGTTGTGGTTGTTTTGGCCGCTTGTTGCTGGCAGCTCGTTGTCTGGCTTGTCTGAAAATCGAATTCTTGAATGAACCATTAATCTTGCGGCCAGCTCTGGCCGCAGCCGGACCCCGGGCCGATCATTAAATGGCTGCAGTAATTGCATTGCGGCTGCAGCTTCAGGTTTTTGCCTCTGTTTCGACTTCGGTTATATTTTTATTTTTTGTGTTTTTTCATCTTGGCTTTGGTTAAATTAATGCGGGTTTGTCATATTACAATTACGGCGCCCGGCTGGCATTACACCTGCGCTTTAATGCGACGACCCCTTGGGTGCCTCCAAGCCCCAATTGGTTCTACTCGACATTTCGTGTGAAAGGTTGTCGCAGTTGTGCCTTTGTCTTAAGGTTAGGGGTTAGAGGGGGCTACGCTGCACAACAATGGGCGCAGCTTACAGTTTGTTAAATCATTTGACAATTTATTAAAGTTTCTGTGGTGATTGGCTTAGGGTTTGGTCTTAAGAATACAATTTTACAAGCATTAGCATCGAATTCACGTTAAGACAAAATTAATATTTTTTAATTAATAAAAATTGTTGTGCAATTGAGACGTGACCGAAAGTAAGTTAATATGGGAAACGGCAGTCATATCTACAATATGTGGGTTAACTCATAAAAATAACTCTTTTCATTACCCTGGTTCAATGCTCTACCGATCTTCGGTTAATGCAGATCGCAGTGTAGTGCAGCATTCCAACACCTCTCACTTATAAGAAGAAGAAGAAGAAATACTACATACAACATACAAGTATTTATGATGATAATACAATCTCGCAGCAGCAGCAAATTGTGTGTTGTGTAGAAAAGTGAAAATCACTTTTTAAAGCGCTGCTGGACAACATATAGAAATTTCAATTTCCAATGCAATGGCAGGCATAATTTGTTAATTAATTTCCAAGCAACAACTTAATCAAAATGATGTGGCCAATTAAAAAGCCACCGCGGGGATGCCAGCGATAAGACAGACAGGGCGGAGCTAGAGACTTAGAGATAGGGGGGAGGGAGAGGAAAAGTATTGCGAACTAGTTTAAAGAAAGGCTTTCTTCGAGTGTGTGCGTGTGTGCGAGTGTGTGTGTGTGCGTGTGTGAGAGGCGAAACGAATCGACGCGGATCGAAACGAAGCGGAACTTAACTACTCCAACTGCGGATCGATAGGTCGTCTGGCCTGGACCGAAAGCTGAGCACGTCAAAAGATGCTCAGAGCAGGCACCAGCACGACTCAGACGGAAACAGGTAGACAGACGGCTGGACAGGTGGCACAGTGGGTAGACTACAGCACTCATGATGCAACGGAAGTGGGCAATCCGTGGGAGTTGACAGCTTGCTGCCTCCATTCTGGAGCTGCACAAGAAAGCGCTTTGCATCTGCTTGGCAGTATTTACCAGGCCCAACTGTCTGTAGCTAGTAAAAATTGTGATTCTTTTAACAATCTTTCGATGCTATCGCACAGACTCCGCTCGAACAACTTCGACATTCAATTAAATCCGCTACCAAAAACTTAAGCCAGCTCAAATTTATCCTCACCTGCCTCCTTGGCTGGCCCCTCAATTAATGTACCCCGTGCCGCAGCTAAACAATTTCAACTTATTATCCCACACAATGCAAAAGGCAGCAAGGAACGGGTTCTGGTCACGTTTTGGTCCAGCTTAGGCTGCTCCAAGAGCAAACAAAAAAAAAAAAACTAAATACAAAACCAACGCAGACACAAAATGATTTGCGGTTCATTAAGACGCGAAGCCCCCAGACAGACAAGAGGACTGTCGACTGTGGACAGAGGATAGAGGACAGCGGACCCCAGACTGCGTCTACGATGACTAAGGCACTGGCGGAACGGTCACTAAATACACTTGACAGAGGCTGCATTTGAGTGAAATGGACTTTTGGCTGGCGTCCGGCCAACGCAGACGTCGCTCGATAAGGCGTAGACTGGACACATTTGCCTGGAGCTCACGATTAACGCCAACAGCTCCTCCAGCTAATCGGACAGATCGCGACAAGCCACCAGTCAGACAGACAGACATAATTATATTGCTGACGATCATGATGATGATCATGTTCAGTTATTTCCACAGACGTTAAAGTGGATTCTAGCAGATTGTCACGAGTAGGAAGTCGAACAAGCCTTGGCAGTTGAGTAGGTTGACCAGAAGAAGAGCAAGAAGAAGATGAGTGCAACATGATCTAAGGACTAGATGAACAAACTAAATGTGGGCTGGCACAGATAGGATCAGGCTGGAATAGTCAAGGCAGTGACCGCCAGACCACTTGATAGAGCTGTCAAGAGTACACGGGGAAAAAGACATTGGGAGCAGGGGAAAAATACAGCGAAGCCCGAAGGGGAAGTTGAGGAAAAAACGCAAAGCTTTATACGAGATGAATGGGTATTATATCAAGAAAAAGTATCCCTACCGAGCCAAATATGTGAACATGAAGAACTCAGAATATGGAACTTTCTGCCTTTCAAGAACCAAGGGGATATTGTTTTCAATAACAAGATCAAGCATAAAGTATTAGAGCTTAAGGTAATTTACACGAGATATTAAAAAAAAAAATCATAAAAAAGTTTTGCTTTTCGAACCCCCCACCTCTCTTGTCCTGTTAGCTTTAGGTCTTGCTGCGCTTTCCACCTCATCGGCCTGGTCCACACCCTGGAGCGTAGATCACTCAAAAAACATAAATATGACTAATCAATGCGCAACGCCTTTCTATTTAGCGCTCGCATTCTGCCTGGGTCTGGCCTGGGTCTGGGTCTGGGTCTTGCCTGGCATGTTTGCGGCATGTTTAATATTTGTGAACCGCGTGGAACTTTCATCATTGATAAGCCCAACACACACACACACACACACACACACACACATGCTAGTTATAGACCGCAGTCAGCTCATGTTTCCTCATTCACATTGCAGCAGCATCGTCAGGAGTCGCAGTCGCCGGACTATCAACGTTATGCGAGCATTGGCAAATTGCCCCGTGCGACGGGCAATGCCAATGGCAGCAACAGCCATGGCTTCGCTGGCAACACACACACCGTCACCGTCGACATACACCAGCACAGTGGGCCGGGCAACAAGCAGCAGCAACAGCAGCAGCAGCAGCAACACACAACTTGCAACAGCAACAATCTGCACTTGCCGTACTGCGATCTGAATGGGGCTCCGGCATTTGCGACGCCGCCAACGCGTCGGCGTTTCTTCAATCACAAGAATCTGCGCAGCGCGCTCACCGGACACCGACGCACTGCCTCCAATGGCGGCAGTCCGCTGGACACAGCATCGATGCTGTCGGGCGGTAAGTTCTAGTCATGGCCACACCTCTCACTTTAGGTGTTGGGATGCACACACACAGACACTCAGTTCCTCTTAAGCACAACAAGATTAGTTGGTAAATAAGCTTTGCACAATGATCATTATTTAGATCATCATGCGCATCATCATCATCATCACCATCATCATCATCGTCGCCAGCATACTGGCAGCGGCAAGGAGTCGAACGCCTTGAATACCTCCACCTGCTCGGATTCGGCGGTCACGCGACGTCGTCGCAAGAACTTCAGCAACAACAATCTGAAGACATCCGCGGAGCATGGCGCCAACAGTGAGAATCGCCTGAATCGGCTCAGCTTGGCCGGCACCTCGATCAAATCTCTAATCAAATCCCTGTGGAGCGTCAATTCGTCGAACTCAAGCGAAGCGGGACTCAATCAACTAGCAGGCATGGCGTCCACTTCCGCCGGACTCTACTTCTCTACTTCTTCTATTTGTTGTACATTTTGCATGGCATTCAATTTGGCTCGATTCCACTTTTTGAATATTTCGCATGGCATTTTTTGAGATTTGCTGATTCGTTAATATATAGACTGCGATATCCGGATCAGCGCTGTCAGAGAAACAGTTTTATTTAGCTAATTAGAAATTGTCTGTGTGAAATTTAAATTTACCCATACTAACTTATACCCAAGGTGGCAAATAACATTTTAGCTTAGTTTAATTCTCTTTTCGAGGAGCTTTAAACCTAAGCTGGAGCGTTTTTCCCTTTTAATTTTTTCGAAAATTATGCAATAACTCTTCAATGAATTTGCATAAATGTCTTACTTAACTAAAAACATTTAACATAGCCCTTTTTTTTAGATACATTTTCCACAGTTTTCGGGGGATAGTTGGTATCAAATTTACTCATAATTAAAGATATTTTCTGTTAAGCTTTATACAAGCTTATATACATTTGTATAATTTTTATTTAATAATTATAATAATTCTTAACAACATATTTACTGATCACCTTCAATTTAATTCTAACCTCTCTTTTGCACGTCCTTTACATTACATTACATGTTATTGATCAACAGACGTTTAACATAAATGCATAAATGTTAATGTTAATGCGAGTTAAATACGCGACAGCCAATTGGAGTCACATTATCTCGTAATAACAGGAAGATCGATCATTTAACATTTTTAGATGTTCATTAAAATATATATATTTGTTATTTATTAATATTTCTGTTCTCAATATTTACTGATCACCTCCCATTCACTTCTAATCTCTCTTTTGCACGATCTTTACATTATCATTACATGTTATTGAACCACAGACGTTTAACATAAATGCTAAAATGACACTGTTAATGTGAGGATGTTAATATGAGGCTGTTAATGTTAATGTTATTGTGAGTTAAATACACGACAGCTAATTAAAGACACATTTTCTCGTAATAACAGGAAGTTCCTTTAAAGTCTTTAGATGTTCATTTAAATGTATATATTTGTTATGTATTATAATTGATGTTCTTTATATTTATTGCACGATGTTTACATGTTTATAATATGTAGTTTATCAGTATTTTTGATGGTACTCACCCACATCCTTTTGCTTTACATCGCAGGCAGCGACACCTTGGGCATCGAACACCATCCGCACTCGTTGCTGCAGCAGAAGGATCAGCTGCGCGCCCGCCTGGGCCTCTTGCTGAACGACAACAACAACGGCAACGGCAACAGCAACACGAACACCAATACAACCACCAGCAGCAGCAGCAGCAGCAGCAGTGGTGGCGGTGGCGGCGGCGGTGGCGACCACAATGGCAACTCGACGATGCAGTCGACCAGCATCTCGAGCAGCACCGGCGTCAGCACCACGGCGAACAGCAGCAGCGGCAGCTCCTCGCAGCACATCAGTCCCGAGTCGCAGTTGGCCAGCGTGGGGCTGAGCGGCAGCCAGCTGTCGGTGGCCACCTCGCACAAGGACGACGCGCTGAGCCTGTGCGGCAAATTCAAGATGGGCTGCGCCCTGCAGGAACATCCCTACGAGCCGTTGCCCCTGGCACTGCCCGGCAAGGCGCGCAAGGGCGCCGCCCGGCGTTCCACGCGTGCCCAACAGCTGCCCGCGGGCACGGCAGCTGGAGCAGGAGCAGCTGGAACGGGAGGAGGCGCCGTCAATAAGCGAGCGGCGGCAGCAGCGGCCCTAGCGGCGGTGCAGCTGGCGCTGAAGCCGCTGTTCTTTGAGGTGCCGCTCCAGGAGCCCGATCCGCCGTATGTGGGCCGGCAGTGGCTGGTGCAGCAGCTGGCCAACATACTGCTGGGCACGGAGACGCGCGTGGTGCTCATCAATGGGCAGCCGGGCACGGGCAAGACCGCCTTCTGTCTGCAGCTGGTGGAGTACTCGTGCTTTGGACGGCGCCAGATGCAGGCGCAGCAGCAGGAGGATGCGGATGCCATCTACAGCCAGCTGAGCGCCCAGAACGAGCGCATGCGCGGCCTGGCCTCCCACATGGTCGGCTATCACTTCTGCCAGTCGGACGCGAATCTCACCTGCCAGGTGCCGGACTTTGTGCACTCGCTGGCCGCCCAGCTCTGCCAGGCGCCGCAGCTGACCGCGTACCGTGACTATCTGCTCTCGGAGCCGCATCTCCAGGACATACTCAGCGTGCGTGAGTGCATTGCGGATGCGGAGCGTGTGATGCGCCTGGCCATACTGGAGCCGCTCGCTCAGCTGCATCGCGCCGGCAAGATACCCGCCAAGGTGGCCGTCATACTGGTGGATGCGCTGTGCGAGGCGGAATACCATCGGCCGGATCATGGCCATACCATAGCCAGCTTCCTGGCCCAATTGTCGCCGCATTTTCCCGCCTGGCTCAAGTTGGTCGCCACGGTGCGCACCCAAATGCTGGAGCTGGTCAAGGCGCCCAGCTACACGCAGCTCACCCTCGACAGCTGGGCCAGCAGCCAGGCCCTGCAGCAGGATATGCTGGACTACATCAATGCACGCATCGCCCATTGTCCGGAGATTCAGCACAATATTGGCGGCCAGTTGGCCCAGTCGCAGGCCAAGTTCGTGTCGCATCTGCAGTCGCTCAGTCGCGGCTCCATGCTGTATGCCAAGCTCATACTGGATCTGATCTCGCGCGGCCAGCTGGTGATCAAATCCTCCAGCTACAAGGTGCTGCCCGTCTCGCTGGCCCAGATCTTTCTGCTGCACTTTAATTTGCGCTTTCCCACGGCACGCAGCTTTGAACAGACGGCGCCCATACTCAACGTTTGCCTGGCCGCGCTCTATCCGCTCACGCTGGACGAGATCTACTATAGCATGGAGGCACTGCATCATGGCCAGGAGCCGCTCAGCTGGCCGCAGTTCATGCAGCGCTTCAAGCTGCTCGACGGCTTCCTCATCAAGCGGCTGGACAACACGTACATGTTCTTTCACAGCTCGCTGCGCGAGTGGCTCATGCGCCGGGATGAGGGCGAGTCCAGCAAGTTTCTGTGCGACGCCCGGCTGGGCCATGCGGGCATCGCCTTCCGGCTCTCCCGCCTGCAGGCGCCGCTGCAGCCGCAGCTGACGCTCGAGCTGGGCCATCACATGCTCAAGGCGCATCTCTATAGCACCAGCCAGGCGGCGCTCTCGCCGCGTGATCTGCAATCCTATTGGCTGGCCGGCGCCGCCGACAACATCTCCGCCGCTTTGGGCGCACTGCGCAACGTCTACAGTCCCAACGTGAAGGTGTCCCGGCTGGTGCTGCTCGCCGGCGCCTCGCCGGATCATCGCACCGACTACATGGGCGATGCCCCCATTTTGTGCATTGCCGCCCACGAGGGCATCCTGCCCATGGTGAGCCTACTGCTGGAGTTTGGCGCGGATGTCGGTCTGACCAACAGCCAGGGCTGCACGCCGCTCATCCTGGCCGCAATGCGCGGCCACTGTGATGTGGTGCGCCGCCTGGTTGCCGCCGGCAGCAGCCTGGGACAGCTGGACACGACGCAACGCTGCGCTCTGGTGCATGCCGCACGCATGGGCCATCTCAGTGTGGTGCAGTATCTGCTGGCCTGCGACTGGTCGCCTCGCCCCCGCTCCCAGGATGTGGGCCGCTCGCTGGCGCTGCAGCAGGCGCTCATTGGGGCGGCGGCCCAGGCGCATGTCAAAATACTCGAGGATCTGCTGGATCTCAACGAGCACGAACTGGACGATCTCGGCGTCAATGTGAACGGCCTGGAGCCGAGCAGCGGGGAGCTGGCGCTGACGGCAGCCGCACGACACGGCTGCATGGATGCGGTCAACATTCTGATGTCGCGTGGAGCCCAAATCGATGCACGGAATCGTCAGGGCTACACGGCCCTCTGGCTGGCCGTCAAGGAGGGCCATTGGAGCGTGGTCGAGCAGCTGCTGCAGCGCGGCGCATTGCTGGACGAGCCGCTGGGTCAGGCGCGCAAAACGCCGCTGATGATCGCCGCCGAGGAGGGACATCTGGAGCTGCTGGAGCTGCTGCTAGCACGTGGCGCCACATTGGAGGCCGAGGATCATGAGGGTTTCACTGCGCTCAGCTGGGCGTGTCTGCGCGGCCATTTGGCAGCGGCCAGGTGCCTCATTGAGCACGGCTGCAATCGGCAGCACGAGGATCACAAGGGACGCACCGCCTTGGATCTGGCCGCGTATCAGGGTGCGGCCAGTCTGGTGCTCTATTTGCTGGAGCAGGGCGCCAATCTGGAGCACATCGATGTGCATGGCATGCGGCCGCTGGATCGTTCCATTGCCTGCCGCAACATACAGGCGGTGCAGGTGTTTCTGCGCAAGGGCGCCAAACTGGGACCCACCACCTGGAGCATGGCCATGGGCAAGCCGGAGATTCTGGTGGTGCTGCTCAACAAATTGCTCGAGGATGGCAATGTGCTGTACCGCAAAAATCGCTTCCAGGACGCCGCCCATCGCTATCAGTATGCGCTGCGCAAGATCTCCGGCCTGGAGCAGCTGCTCGAGCGGAATGCCGTATTTGCCCAGCTGCGCACAAATCTGCTGCTGAATCTGTCGCGCTGCAAGCGAAAACTGAATGTAACTTATGCCGCACGGAATTGTTTGATCTCTGTCTCTAATCTTTGATTGCTTTACAGGAACTTGACGCCTCCATAGATTTGGCCACGCAAGCCATACTGCAGAAGCCGCACAGCTACGAGGGCTACTATGCCCGGGCCAAGGCGCGCATGGAGCTGGGCGCACTAAACGAGGCGCTTGTCGATGCCAACGAGGCCATGCAACAGGCGGCCCAGAGTGGAGTCCTTTGTGAGGTTGTGGAAGTCCTGAAGCGTATCCAAGCCGAGCTCCTCACACGAATCACCAGCGAAGATCAATGTGCTGGCAAGCTGGCCAGCGCCGGAGTCGGCGTTGGAGTCGGAAACGGAATCGGAATCGGAACCGGAGCCGGCGCTAGTGCCGTCTACGAATCTCAGCAGGAGATGACCGATTTGTAAATGTCCTTTGTTGAAACGAATCACAATCTTAACTTTCTAATTTTAGGACTAGCTCTTAACTGTGTTTCTATTTATTGCCTTTGGAAATTTGATTAATTTAAAAAATTAATTTGTATTCTTTCTTTTTCTTTACGCATGTAAAAAATAGTTGTAATAAATATACATTAAGTCTACATTTGGTTAATAAAATAAATACGAATTTATAAGATGAGACCTCCGCAATCTCCTCCGCGTTCGGGCTCCTCCAATTCGACGCCTCTTTCCCAGTCGCGTTATGTAGTTTGCAGTCTGTTTGTTTATGACGTCCCCGACTTTGGGCACTCACTCCTAGGTCTTTTTCCAAATCGGAAGTTCGCTTATACCAGGGGGCACCAGACAGATAGCGGAGCGTTTTTGCTTGAAACACCCTGATTTTCGTAAGGCGCGATTTTGCAGCAATACCGTAAACTTGAATACCATATCGCCAGGCAGGAGCTAGGCAGGTTTTGTATATGTTTACTTTGTTTTTTAAAGATAGCGTATTTTACTGTTGAGCAGCCATCTAAATTTGCCTAATCTGCTTTTCAGGGCTCCTGTGATACTTGATAAACGCCTGTCTAAGTGCACCCCTACGTATTTGTAGCTGTTGTAGTGCGTCAGGAAGACTCCGGACTCCCTGCGGAGCGTTCCTTCCTAAAGCAGGTACTGGTACTTCAGCTGCTCCACCGCTCCGTTTGGGTATGCAATGAAATTTTTGATTTTTGTTCGTCTGCCTTTTTTTTCAAAAATTTTGGATTTCCAAACACAATTAAAAAACGTGGTAAGCAAGTCGATTCCAGAGATCAGTACGAGTTCAAAAAGGTATAACTTTCCAAAATCGGACCATTTTTAGCCGAATTATCGGAAAAAACGAAAAATCTTCAAAATTATAACGGCATTTTTTCGCGTTTTTTAAATCGCTGTATCTCGGCCAAATAAGCCCCGATCTTGGAAAGATTGGTCTCGTTCGACAGCCTTTGTCAGCCAACATCGTAGTTTTTGCAAAAAACATTCCAAACAAATTGGGCCATTTCTTAGAATTCAGATTTTTTGGTGTCAATCGATAGTCGGGATCCGTACGAGAAGAAAGAGGTATCTATCTATCATAAAATACGAATTTACTTAATTTACAAATTTCATTCAAAAAAATGTTGCAACTTCGTGGCGGGCCACAAAAACTTCGTGGGGCGTGGTTTGCGTCCTCACTACGGCAAAATAACTTAAAATAGAGAGCACTCAAACCATTTCGGAAAATTGTCGATTTTTATTTACTTCTTTCTGAATTTGAAGCAAGACAAAACTGGTTTGTTTTGAAGTGGTTTGGGTCCTCTCTACAGCAAAACGGTTACTCCTAAAGTAGAGAGGACACAAACCACCATCTCAAATTTTATATCCCCACTTTCTGAATTTGTAAAAAATATATTAGATGGAAAATGATTCTTAGGGTCTGTTCGAGACATCTGGGCAAAGGAAGCATTGTTGGTTAGTGAAATTCACATTATATTTTATAAAAAGTTTATACTTAACATGTTTAAACCCTAAGTCCTAACTTAACAACATAGAACTAACTTAACACGATGATAAATTATACGTATTAAACACGTATGCTAGACAACATTGATTTGGGATGGGCGAAATTTCCGCAGAAAAATTTAAATTTCAGTCTCGCTTTCATATGCACTAAAAGCCAATTACATTGTAATTGCGGGCAAGGTAAATAATTTGATAAAATCATATTTGTACACATATAAGTCAAGTATTGTCATCATTTGATCAAACTATTTACCCAAAATCTATCGATTTGATCTTAAAGCTAACTTAACGCAAACATACAGATCTACAACTAGGCTAATAGAAGGACTCAATATGAGTCAGAGAAGGAACGTTTTTGCAGGCTGGCCGTGCAAAATGTGTTCGTTGTCGTTGTCGGTTCAACAAATCCATTCGGATTGCACAAGGCAACAATGGCACTTGGTTGTTCAGGGCTGTTCAGATCCTTGGCTAAAACTTCTCGTCGTCCATGTTTGTGCGGCAATTGTTGAGCGCCGACTGACGCTTCAGCGTGCCCGTCTCGCAATCGTTGTAGGTTTTGGCCAGCACCTTGGGCGTGTTGTTGTGGTGCATGTTGTTCCGGTTCAGCGTGCCGCCACCACCGCCGCCGCCGCCACCGACGGATAAGTTGCTTGTCTTGGCGGGCATGCGGAAGCTAGACTGCCGCTTGGGTCGCTGATCGTAGTACTGCAAAGTGGGCATATTAGTTCGGGGCTGCAATTGGAGGGATTCATGGCCAAGCACTTACATCCTTGGTGGGCAGACTGGAATACTGATTGGGATAGCTGTCGAAGCTGGCCGTCGTCGTGGTCGTCTTGTTGAGCGCCTCCTCGACGTTTTGCAGGCAACGCCGCCGCGTAAAATGAAATGTGGCCAGGCAGCAGGCGGCAGTTAGGAGCATGAAGCAGCCAATGACAATGGGCAGAGTTGCGCTCGAGGCACTTTGCAGCTCTGCGGAGAAAAGGGGGAAATTAACAAAAGCCGTCCAAATGTTTGAGGCTACCTTGGAGCTTACCTTCACACTCGCCCGGCACGCAGGCGGTCTTCTCGAATTCGGCACCGCGGCACTCCGCGGCCGCTGGCTGCTCCACTAGACAGCGGCGATGACGCAGGCGTATGCCATCGCTGGAGCAGGATGACCACTCGCTCCACTCGCTCCAGCCGAGAAAGTCTGCAATTATGGAAATGTGTTAGCTACACTGCGCCGGCTGCACTGGCTAACCTTCTGGCTTACCTTCACATGGCACCATCGCGCACTGCTGCTCCTCGAGCGCACGTCCCGCACAGAGTCTCTCGTGGCCGCCCAGACACTTGCGTGTGCGCCGGCGCACTCCCAGGCCGCAGGTGACCGAGCAGCTGGACCACTCCGACCAGCAGCTCCACTCGTGTTCCAACTGATTGTCAATGCTATTGTCCGGCTGCTCGTCCGCCGGACAAGCCTGCAGATTGCAGGCGCGACTCTGTGTGCTGTGGCCGCGGCGACGCAGCTGTGTGCCCCCGCCGCAGCTGGCGCTGCAGGGCGACCACTCGGAGTCGGGCTCCGCCGAGGTGTCATGTTCGTTGTGCCGCTGACAGCTGCCGTCCTGGTTGCAATTGCGCGTCTCCTCCTTGGCCAGGCTGATTCGCACCGAGTTGGCATCGGCGCTGGTCGCTCGGCAGGCATAGCGATAGCGTTTCTCCACATGCGCGTCCGTGGCATTGCCACCCGCTGCCGTTAGCCAGGGTGTCCAGGCGCTGAGCTTGCGCACCTCGGCGCAGCTTTGCATATTGCAGTCCTCGTAATCCAGGCGGCAGCCGGGGCAGTCCATGCCGCCGTTCAGGGGCTTGGGATCGTCGCATTCGCGCCGGCGCATTCGGAAGCCGCCGCCACATTGGGCGCTGCACTCGCTCCACTCGCCCCAGGGACCCCAGGCGCCGTCAATGGGCGGCGGCTTGGCCACGGGACACGGCGGCAGGTGGCTGCAGTACATCTCGGCATGCTCGGGTCCCAGGCACATGCGTCCGCCGTGTGCGGGTCGCGGATTGCCGCAAGTGCGGCGACGCGTCTTCACGGCAATGCCGCACGTCTGCGAGCAGGGCGACCACGTCGACCACTCTGTCCAGCCGCCGTGCTGGGTGCAATTGGTCACCTGGGTGCTGATGCCCTCGCAGGCAACGCCGCCGTGCTGCGGCTGCGGATTGTTGCAGTTGCGCTGCCGGCACAAGCAGCTGCTGTCCGGCTGCTCGTGCTGCTGGCACTCGGCCCATGGCGACCAGCTGGACCAGCCGCCATCGATGGGCGCATTCAGCACCGGGCAGGTGAACTGTGCTGGCTGGAGCCAGGGCTGCTGCCCCGCCGGATCGAGTGGCGTGCAGCGCTCGACGAGCTCATTCCAGCCGCAGTAGGGATCCATGGCATTGAGGCAACTGGACTGCGAGACATGACGACTGCAGCGCTGGGCAGGTATGCGTGTCAGGGCCAGATCTGTGCCCAGGTAGATCGATTCCGTGACCTTCAGATAGGACATGTGCAAGAAGGTGTTGCTGCCCGTATCGTCCGCCTGCCACATCTCCACCAGGCACGTCTGCGTCTTGCCCTGCTGCTGGCCGTACTTGACCGACAGCTTCTTGATGTGGTTGCCGCTGCTGGAGACATACAGCACATGCAGCTGCTCCGTCCGGGTCTGCACAATGTCCAGCGCAATATGCTTGAACCGCTCCAGCCGGGAATGGTACAGCGGCTGCGCCCCGATCGGCTGTATCGCCTGATCCATGAGCTGGTAGCGCGAACTCTCCAGCAAGTGGCCAAAGGCTGTTGCTCCGCTCGCGCACTGGAACTGACTCCGTTGCGGCGTATTCACCGTTTTCCATACCGCATCCGCGTGCTCCTGATGCCGGAAGGCGCCCTCGAATGCCGCATTAATCGAGCTCAAATTGTAGGCGCAGACGGCGGAACCAAAGATGCTCGAGCTGAGATGAAGAATGTGGCCAATATTAGTTAGATCCTGGAGTAAGAGACTCTTTACGCTTACCCTGACGTGCTGAAGGTGGCGTAGAGCACGTGCTCCGACTCCGCATACGTCATGCCCTGTATCTCGTCGAAATAATAGGGATAATCGCCGGGCAACGAGCAGTTGAGCCGCGCCTTAAGAAACGAGGTCCAATTGTCGCGCAGCACCTGATCCCCGCCAGCATCGTTCTTGCAGACGCGGGCAATGCGCGAGTAGATGGCCTAAGTAAAGAAAAGGGAATATATAACTCGATCGTTTGCCAATTGATCAGATTTCTTACCTTGCCGCAGCTCATGTGCTCCGCGGCGGATTCGCGCAGCAGAAAGTACACAAAGTTGCCGGCCTCAAAGCTGCCCACAAACTGGGCCCCATTTAACCAATTGGTGTTGTATTGCTTGGTGCGCAGGAAACGCTTGCGTTGCACCTAAAAAATAAATGAGAAGCGGTGTTAAAAAAGCCTATAAGATCGAATAGGAGTAGAGCCGAAAAGAGAATAAATGGATGGGTTACGAGGGAGAAGAAGGAAGAGAAGATCATATCGATTTATTGGGTCTCATTCAAGATGAGAGCCAAGAGGACTTTAAAACTAGTTTGATGTTTTGCGATTGGCTCTCAATTATCATTTTATAATTTTTGTTATCATTTTTGATATTTGGTATCATTTTCAGATTGCGATTTATATTAATTTTGACATGCACAATCGATAAGAGTTGACAACCACAATCGACTTAAAATTTATCGATAAAAATACTAATTTTGACAGACACAATCGATTATTGTTATAAATCGATAAAAATATAAAAGCAACAATCGGTTTATAATTTTGGAGGGGGATTTCAGATTTCGGAAATAAGGTTAATCTTCAAAGGCAAAAGTAGACTCGAAGAGTTACGGAAAATTATAGAAAAGGTAAATTGCCGGAAAACAAAGTTAAGGGATTAGAGAGAAGGATTGAGTTAAAAGAGGATGTTGACCAAGAAATTGATAAGTTTTTTAAATATATACATATATATATACATACCCCATTGGACTGGACGGGTGTGCGTATTATGGCCACATCGCTGCCGGAGAAGTCCGCGGATGTGCCCACAAACATGTTGCCATTGGACTGCAGAAGGCTGGTGCTGTTCGCCTGCGGATGAAAGGGGCACTTGACCACGCCATCTTCAAACTGGGTGACGTTCAGATTTTCCATCTGCAGAAGAGTTAAAAAATATACCATATATATATAAGAGAGTTCAGTTCGGTGCAGTTGTTGGGCTGTCAGAGCCGTCGAGATGGCGACGAGACGACGACGACGACGACGACCACTCACCTGGCGCCACGAGCAGCTCGGCTGGAAGGCGTTCGTCCCACACGCGTACAGTTGGTTCTCACCGTAGCTGTGGAGCACGCGCACATAGTTGCGACACCAGCGATCCGACTGGCCTTTCTGCTGGCACAGCAGCACGTTCCCAGACGTCGCCTCCCAGCTGGCCCGCTCCAGCGGCTCCAACTCGAAAGACATGCGGTACAAGGTGTCTCTGCAAAGAGTCGATAAAATGTTGCAAATATAATGTGAGTATATATATCCAAGCGAATGGGGGAATGGTAACAGCTAAATTCGGCCCACAAGCCCGAACCCCTGCCCAGCCCGAGCAGCGGCCTAGATGCTCCCCCTGCCCTGCCCTGCCCTGCCCTGTCATAATTTCCAACTGGTTGCCCGCTTGCCCGGTGCATTGAACTGCAAGGCAAACAGGTAAAGATACCTGCCCGGGAGGCACAGTGGTCGCCACTCGGCTGACATTTGAATAAGCGCGCTTGTAGGCGTCTCATGTGGGCATTAAACAAGATGAACGAATCGGAATTATGGCTTTAGTACCACATTAGGCAACTGTTGGAAGAAGTTCAATTAAGATAAGCAGCCGAGCTAATAAAAGTTTATTACGAATTCGGTCTGATGCAAAGTGAAACATATTAAAAGATATGCAGCATGTAAGAGATAAATAATTAATTCTCTTTAGATAATTTAAAATTAACTCTAATTAAATAATTGATTCTCCTTTAATAATTAATTCTCAATAATTCCCAAGTTGTTTTAACAATTACAATGTGATATGACTTTTTGATTTGCTGCTCTGTAGTATGGAAGGACGACAAACTAAGCATTTTCTATTTTCCCATTACTTGATCGCATGTCAACCACTGTGCAAAGCACTGCAACCACTGTGTTCATACGTATTTGGCATAACAAATACGAAGATCAATAGATCAAGTGCATACGAATGCGGCTAGCGACAGATAAATGGTTACATCTCGAGCTGGAGCCGGACAGCGTTCGCTGGTAGAATTCGCTTGAAGGAATGCCGCCGACCAGACGTCGCCAGAGTCGTCGTCGTCGTCGTCGGCGGCTGCAGCAGCCCACAGTTGGCTTTGGACAACTTTACTAACGAACATTTGATGCTGTTTAGCGGCTTAGAAGAATGGCTGCTGCATTGGCCAATGTGGGACTATGCGGACCGGATCGACTGCCAGCTCGCCCAATATCAATCAGTCAAACGCAGCTGCCGCGCGTGGAGCATTGAGCGTGGCGCGTGGCTCTGACCAGGGCACCTGGCTCAGGTGGTAACCTGAGCTTGGCCGCTGCGTGTTGTGCGACTTCTGCGGTACGTGATGATGAGGTAATATAAACAGACGCAACATTCGCAAAAGCCGACTTCGACAGACGCCCTTCCCCAAAGCGCAGCTGTCAACGACGACTTTGTTTGGAGTGTGCCGCACAAAAGGTGTGTCTCGTCCCGTCCCGTTCCGTTGGCGATAATATCGCGTTGGCAGATGCAAAATGTTTTTAGTTTTGCCATTATTTAAATTAAGGCATTAAATTTTAATAACAGAAAATGGCCAGGTCGAGGAAGTATGGCCATAAATGTGGCTACAAAAACCGAAGTTAACAGCAAACAGCAAAGGGTATTAAATAAATATTAACTGTGGCTATACAAACCTTTACATCCCATTTAATTACACGTAATCTAAGACATTAACAAGTTGAACTTTAGGCGATATAATGCTGGTTAATCTAACGTTATTTATTTAAGGGGGAACCGACTTGCCTATATCTTATATGATGCGAACAGACGCTGCTTGTTATGGGTAACTGTACAGAGCTCCTCCCTCCGCGTTCAGTTTGTTGGGCAAGGTTATGATAAGCGTTAACAGCCAGACTTCGAGTGTGTCAATAAACAAGAACTATCGAAATACGGCAGAGTACAGAGCCAAAGCCTTATAAACTCTTCTTCTTATCAACTCAAGTGGGTTCCCCTACTTACGGCGGAGTGCAGGGCAAAAGTTGGGTTAGGTTCAGCGGAAATCGACATGTGAAAATGACGTGACAAATGTCGCGTAGCAAAAAAAATGGCAAACGTGCACAAAAAACAAAAAAGGGCATACAAATTGCAGCCAGACTTAACGGCTGCAAATATTAATTATTGCTGATTGTGTACAGTTGTTACGGTTGTTTTTTTGTTATTGTTGTTTTAACTGGGCAAGTCGCGCCATAATGTGTGTGTGCGATTACGTTTCGAGTGAAAATTTAGTTGTCAAAACATGGGCGTTAAAATTGAAATATATACAAAAAATATATATTAAAATTATACTAAAACTTGGTATTTTAAGTTAAAAGCGTTTGAAACGAACTAAATCATGCCGGGCTCCAATACAACGCAATGTAGAGTCTAAAATTAGCGCAAACTCTACACTAATATGAATTTGTAGAGTTCAATGTTCCATTTCTTTGGCAGCAGCAGCGATAAGCAACGGCCTTGCAAATTAGCATTGCCTTCAACGGCGCACACCCCCCCCCCCTCCCCCCCCGCACACTTGCCCACCTCGCGCTCGCTTTCAAGTTTTTATCTTTCGCTTCGCTTCGAAGCTGGCAAATTCCACATTTGAGGTGTGAAAAGTCGATACACATGTTTTCTGCTCTTGCCTACCTCTTGTTCGTTTTCTTTTAATTTGTATTTTTGTTATTTATTCTGTTTGTTTTGTTGCTGCATTTTGCTTTTTGCAAATATTTGCTTACTGTTTTGTCAGTTGTTGTTTTTTTTTTTGAGCTTGTATTTGTTTAAGTTCTTTTCGCGCTATCGTTATCTCTAAACGGCGCGTGCGTGCAAATACGAGCAAGTGGGAAAAGTGTTGCGAATCGTTTCATGTGTGTTTTTTGTTGTGTTGAACAACGCACTGCACAGATTTCTCAAGCATACCTGAAACTGAATCATGACCTGGTTTGAGATGCAACAAGATCCAAACTATCTGAAACATCTATTTATTTACAAATTATTTGATGGGATGAACAATTGACCAAAATACAACTTTGTTTTGCCATAGCCTAAACTTGTTGCGAATTATAACGTGAGTTCTCTTGCTATTGGAAAGTAAAGCAATCCTATAATATCTATGTTCAGATGCTGTTCAAAAAGATGTACAGGTAAGCAGACAAAATGTTTGCTTCATATAAAGAATTTCTCAACACAAAGATACATCCTCAATGCGCTAAATATTGCATAACCAAATTGTGAAACTCCTTGGAGCAAGAGATTTGACCCATTTACAGATGCGGCGCGTGGCTGCCTTGTCCGACAAGTGCGTTACGTGCCGCAATCTGTATCTGAAAGCATGTTGCTGTAACTGTATCTGCATCTTTGGCTGTAAATGTATCTGTATCTCTGCGGATATTTCATTTACTTGGATTTACTTTGCGCATTTGCATTCACAATTTTCGCACACCTTGCGCCGTGGCTAAGTTTTGAGCGACAAGCGCGACAAGATAACAAAAAGGCCTTTTTGTAAGGCGCACCACCAAGTGCCAAGTGGTGCCGCAGTTGAAGGCGGCAACGTCGTGTGCAGCTATTAAGGCTATGGCTATGGCTGTGGCTATGGCTATGTGCGCGGCTTTGACTGTGGCGCCGTCTGTCCAGCTGGGAACGGCGCTGCTCCAGTGGAGGAGCGCGTGGGCGTTCGTCTAGCGCCTGTTTGGCGACAGCTCGCGGCGATCGACGGGCTGGCGGGTTACTTGTAATTAAAAAACTGCCCGTTGCTCCGTTAAGATCTAGCAAGAAAAAAAAAAACCTGCAACAAACTGCAGCGAATTGCAATGAATTTCAGCATTGGCACTGCCTACGCCAAGCGCATTCCTTGCTCTCAATCTCAAAACTGCTCCACTATTAACATTTTTTTCTATTTGTTGGCATTTTCAATAGAAATATGCAAAACGCCCCCCTTTGCAATGTGTCCGCTGGAGCGGTATATGTTTTACTTAACATGGTTTTGCTTTGATTAATTTTGATTTCAATTTCGCTGCTGCCGCGGCTTCCAGTAGCCGCCTAAACTGACTGTCAGCCTCTTAGCGTCTGTCAAGTGAAGTTTGTGCCCAGATTTCAACTGCCAAATTTGGCTACAGTTAAGCCAAAAAAAATGAATAATAATAAAAATAAATAAATGCTAAATTTGGTATTTGCTTCCTCAAACAATTCAATGGGGAATTGTCTAAAGTGCTTTAAATAAGAATTTTAAAAGTAACGTAAAAGTGTTAATATAATAAAAATCATTGTTTAAACAATGAGAATATTAATCTTTAGTTAAACAAATCAGTCTTGCTTTAAAAGAACAAAATGACGAATTCAATAGATAGATAATATAATTTTCCATCCATAACATAGCTTTTAAAATGTTTCCTTACTTTTTATACCCAATGAAAATGTATGAAAGGGGTATATTCTACTTTTTCTCAAATCTTAGACCTTAGATTAAACTACATTTATCTTCATTCAGAAGTTAAATCCCGAAATTTAAACGTAGTTTATATTCCTTTATAGAATTAAATATCTTATCTTAAACTGAATTTAAATTAAATGCAACTGAAACCAAGTGGACTGCATTTTCCCTTTAGCTTCCCTCCAAAACTGAACTTTGAAGCGGACCCCTTTCATAGGTTTCCGACGGAAAGTTGTTTTCCTATCGAAACATTTGAAATGCAGCCCTGTTTGGAGTACTTTTAAGGTTATGTTCAGTCATATGTATAAACATTTCAAATGCTTCGCAGCGTTGCATTTGCATGGTCCATTTGCGCCAAGCCGCAACAGCGCTCAAGACCCCTTCAAAAAAAAAACAACAAAATTAAAACCAAAAACTAAAAAAAAACAACCTCTATAAAAGGTTGTTTAGCAAAAAACAAGGAAGAGAGGCGGAAAAATAAAAGAAACGAAAACAAAATGGTATATTATTTTAATGCAGTCTATATCAAATTTCGGGCCACAAGACCCCGAATGCACTGTACATGACACAAATTACGCGACGTGCAACTTGCAGGCACTCGTCGTCCCGTCCCCCCGTCGCCCCGTCGCTCCGTCGCCCCATCGCCTCGTCAATCGTCAGACGTCATGGGAGCCGTTGGAATACTTGAGCTCGTCCCGGACTTGTCGCTCGTAATCGGAGCCTGAAGTCGTGTCAAGTGCCAGACGAGGAGCAACGGCTTCTCGTATATATGTATATATAGGGACTTTGTCCCTAGTTATTCCATGCCAATGACTCTACAATTACCCAACTTTTATGAGCCGAACCGCAAAATCGTAAATGTGTAGCGTAGCCGTAGTTGGATTAATATAGCCACAATTAAATTGCGGCTTGTGATTAGAAAAGGGTTCACATTGTGGTTTTCGGCTGTGGTGCAACAGAAACAAAAAACCACTGGGAATTTCGTAGCTGCGGCCAAAGGAAGGTCAACGGCGGTTGGCGGTTGTTCAAACAAAAACATGTTTAAATCATAGAGACACGAAGTTTATCAAAGTAATTTAATAAGGATCGAATTACTTCTGAAGGGAAACCCATGTTGGTGAGCGGAGATCATTAGCCAAGAGGTTGTTACCTAATTGCAATATGATTTACAGACAAATAGAGGAATAGAGGAAAGCAACTAAAGTCCACTTAAATATAACATAAAATAAAGATTAAATTATTTTCACTGATTATTTCGAGTTTACGCAATGAGTAAAACCTTAGGAATTGTTGCAATATCTAAAGACCATGCATAAAGGTATTATTAGGTTGCCGAAAGAACTCTGACCAGTGGACCCGGTCTAGTTTGAACACAATCAAAAAAGCCCACAACTTATAAACAAATAAATGACACTTAATATGCCCACGCAGTTATCTAGCCGACTAGCTAGCTATCTATACGCCTACCCAGAAGTAAGTAGAGCAACTGCCCTTCGTTATCAACATTAACTGCCGCATGGCCAACATAATTCAGAGCCTAGAATATGTGAGAAGAATGAAAATTGAAAGAGGGCAAAACAAACAAAAGAAAAACCTGCGACAAATGATTGACAACCGGGTAAAAAAGAGCGAAAAAACAGCGACGACATTTTGATAAACGAGGCAATTCGTATCTCTGCACCTCAAACGGGCACACGTTGTGCCAAGGGGTTAAGATCTGTAGGGACACAGTGCGGCTTCTTATCTTATGAAGATGACTGGAGTTCTGAGCTAGCAAATGAAAAGTAAACTTTGGCTAAGCACATAAAGGAACGAGAAAGACCGAAGCAATCTTTGCCAGGCCGAAGACCAAATACCCTTTGTGGCTTTATTGTCAAGCGATTGTTCCTATATACCCAAATGATATAGTACTCCGGGCCAACTTTGGTCAACATAAGAGTTTATTAGTCACAACTTTCCACTGATCTTTCCTATCGGAGCTATATATAATATAGTCCGGTCCGATCTACCCGATTACACGTCTATATCGACCCGACTGATCAATAATATGCATAGATACTTTAAGGGTTCGGCTAAATCTCCTTCTATGCATTACACGTTCCGTGAGAGAATTATAATACTCTCTAATAGGGTACACAAACAGCTAGGGTACCATTAAATTGCTTAACAAACAGGCAGACAATGTGTGTATCTTTGTATCTATGAGTACGTATCTGACTGGGCAGGCACTTGTTGCCCGTAGAGTCTATTCTATTCTGTTTGTCTTAGCTTGTTCCAGTTGCTTTTGTGTTCATTTCGCTGAGATAAATATGCTGATATGTTCCAGTTTTTGTAGACCTGCAGCACTTTCGATTTTCGGAAGAGATTCCCAGATCAACAAGCCTTATCAGTCTCGAATTTACGCAATAATTCGTGCTGCCTTCGCTGATAAGTTTGGGGCATTACGTTTTTTGACAAATTTAATGTTTCCGTTTATTTATTGCTATCGTTACTTTTTTTTGCGAACAGTCATTGTGAGTTGTGAGTCAATTTTCAGGTAATTCAAGCTAACAAACTTAGAAACTTATAACTTACCTGGCACCAACAATAACCTGCTTCCTGGCCACATCGTATAACAATTCAGAATACCAAGTCGTTTCGGGATCGTAAAATCGTTTGGCTGTTGACATTAAATCTGCAAAAGTAAATATTTATATTAATAAGTATTCTATTATATTACAGGGTATGCCCAAGTCAAGATGGCCTTTTAATATCTTATTTTGCACATTGCATAAGGCCCAGAAAAACAGTTAAAAGCCTCCACTCGTAAGAAATAAACAGCATAAGAAAATAAATGCCTATAAAAATTAAAATCAAAGTCAACAAAACTTGTTGCTGAGTTTGCGCTTCGAGTCGTACTTCACAACAGAATTCCACATCCATGCAAAAAGCACAGAATGAAGACGACGCGCAAATATTTAAACAATAAACACGCAGCGATTTCTGATTAAAAGCCCCAAGTTATTTAATATATATACATATATATATGTACTTATTATATAAAGGGGTGTTAAGATTCCTAAGAACTGACATCTCTGTTAACAGCCAGGCACAGTTTGCGCAGTAAAGCACTTGGCACTGACAGAAATCAACCCAATTTCAAATTCACATGCCTTCAGCATTCGAGTGTTTAACGTGATTGATTGCTTAGCAATTGACACCGTTTTGTAATTATTATCATTATATTATTATTAATGTTTTTTTTCGATTTTTTGATTTTGATAGTCCACAACTTACCTTGATATGATATGTAACGCGAATCATTTTCCAATAACTCAAAGTTTGACTGCGCCTGGTAGCTGCTCAGTAGGGCCCGCGTATTCCTTGGGCTTTGTAGGGTTAAGTATAGTAAAAGTAGAAGCCACAGCTGTCGCTGCATTTTGTCATATTTTAAAATTAACATGCTGCAAAAAAAAAAACAACAGAACAAAGACATTATTAAATATTTGCAACTGATCATAGATTAACATTTATTGCGGATCTACGCAAATGCCCCCGTCTGACAACATTCATTTGTTTAAAATATCTTTAGTTTGATCGGGTAAAACCGGGTTCGGGCTTAAAACAGATTCTAACAAATATACAATCTATGCGCTCATCGAGAGAACTTTAAACAAGGAGAATCCGGGTATTAGATGCCTGATCTATTCGAAAAGTAAGTGTGATAGTCCTATCCCTTACTTATATATTTAAATATAACAATGAATGATATTTTGAATGTATTAAATAACTAGATGTGGGCTAAGTGAAAGCGTTAACTTTTGGCTTAAACCCGAGCATATTTCCCCATTAGCCATGTATAGCTGATTAAGAGTAATCAGTTAAGTGCTGTTCGAATACACTTACTTTATATATTGTCACGTAGCGCTTGAATAGATTATGTATGGTTTTCCATTCAACTTTAGTAATAAGTAGGCAGATTGCAAAAGAGTTGGGTTTATATAAGCATTTTAGAGCTTGATAGCATATGATGAGATTACAATTTCTTCGCACTTTTTTTTCCACAATTCACAATTAATTAAGATCGTATGCTTTTGGACTTTTTCGATCATAAATTGGTACACAGCACAGATGAAAAACTGAAATCTTGCACATTTGTAGTTGGGATTGTTGTAAGTAAAATAATCGAAAGATACGGCACGAAGAATTACCGTTTTTCTCGAAGCAAGTCGCGCATGCCGAAGTTAACCGCGCAGCGAGTCAAAACAAACTGAGCTACGGAGCGGCCGCAGCAACAAAAGACACCAGAGGCGAAGAGCGTAGAAACAACAAAACGGCCAAAGAGCGAACGAGTGAACGATCGCACGAATCAACGAATCAACGAACGAACGAACGAACGAGCGAGCAAAGCAAATGGGCCAAAACGCCGACGCGATGTGCAGCCCACGAAGATGCTTGCTTTGAGAACCGGCTTCTTTGGCCTGCGCAGAGAGCTCAACAGCAGCAGCGACAACAACAACAACAACAACTTGTGTTTGAGCCTGCGGGGCTTAGCATTGGTTTTTATACCCTGGGAGAAGGTATTTTCATTTTGTCAGTAAATATGCCAGAACTTGCCGGATCAGATCAATATATCATGTGACTGTAGTAGTTTTGTATGAAAAATTTAATTTGTTTCAAGATATCTTTAACAAATTTGACTTTATCTTATTACAAAATCCTTTCAACATCTGATCTTATAGCTCTAATAATATATAATCGGTAGAAATATGGGTTTATGTATGGAAAAGATTTCTGTTTGAAAATATCTTAGCCAAACTCGGCAACTACGAGAATCACAACTCCAAGCCCGTAAGTCATATATCTACAAGGGTATTTAATCTTCGGCGTGACGCAGATAGCCGTTCTTGATTGTGTTTTTTTTTTTGTGCTGGGCGCGGTTGCAGTGGCAGCAGCAGGGCAGGGCGCTCATATATCATGCGACAACGACAACCAACTACTTACTGGCAGAAACAGCTACGGGCTGAATCTTTTGGGATCGTCGCACAGCTCTGGTCGGGATTGACAGACGACGCGACGTCCGACGCGGGACGTGCCCAGAACAAGGACAATACTTTGCTGAGTCTGCGTTTTCATTTGGTAGTTCAACAAATTGACATTAACGTCGCGCCGCATAAGGGCACGTGATATACCAGACGGCTGGGCTGAACGATCTTATCGTATAGCAGTGTACCCATTAAAACTCACTTCTCCCCTATCTGTCATACATTTTATGATATATCAGATAATTCCTAGTGGAAACTTTCATTAAGAGACTTTGACAGACTCTAGGCAGTTCCAATCAATTCATAATTAAGTTTTTTGGTTTGAAACGATCTCATAAAGAATCTTTCATAAATAATCCTATAAACTGTATACAGAAAAAGTGGTTCCCTTTAAGAATAAAAACTCTCTGATTTAAACTTATTTCTGTATAGCTCTAGAATGAAGCGCCTTAAGATCTGGTTAACATGACTTTTATCTTAGACCTCAATATGCTGATCAAAAAATCATTAACTTAAAAGTAAACTTGAATTTTACTTAGTAAGACTGTGCATAAGTATCTGCCTAGACACACTTGTGTTTTCTTTTTTGATCTCTATAATAAGATCCGTCTCGCCCACGACATTTTAGAGATCAGTCTGAGCTGCAGTCCTGCTGCCAATTGCAAACAGAGCTCATTGTCAACCTTGACTTTGGCACAGCTGCATCTTGGTCCCTGAACCCAAACATAGACTGGAAGACATGAAATGTGCCGATGCTGCGAACATGATCGCTGAGGATCGGTCTCTAAAGTCGGTTCGGCTTCGATGTTTGGTTGTGTGTTGTTTGTTTATGCCTCAGCATGCAGCTCGGTGCAATCCGAGACTCGGTTCTAGTGTGGTGGGCCGAGAACTGAGAAAACATTGTGGCCCTGACAATATACGACTACCTGAGGCCGTTCATTGTCTGGGATTTGTGCTGCAAGTTTTGGTTAGGACGTTGCCTAAATATGCTAATTACGGTAGCACCAAAAGCCGACGCCTTGTTGCATTTACGGGCTCTGGTAATTTACAGCCTAACCTCTGCTTGGGCAATTGTAATGCTAATGCCCACAAGTCGACCCTCGCATAGATGTACGCTTCCTTTGTGAGTCACGGAAGTGGCCATAAATTCAGGTGGCCTTATCACGCGGACTCGGAGCGCAATGCAAATGCTGGCCCTTCCGGACCTTTTATGGTTTTCACCTGTCAATTTTTGTTATAAATGCATATGAAGGGTTTCCATTTAGTTAAGGGGGAAAGTGATTGCTCAGTTGTGTCGTTTGTCAATATTTGCGCATTCAAACTGAATTATGACCCGTAGATAACAAAATAATCGAACATATTTGACTACAATCTCACTTCGTATAGGGTTCATAGGATTTTTGGCTACCGAATGGACAATGCTGTTCTTTGAGCTCGTAGATATACAAGCCCAAAGGAACATATATATAAAGTATATAATTACTCAGCTGCTTAAATGTTCATAAAACAAAAGAAGTAATTCATTTAGCCTATTGTTGATTGGCATTTATAGGTCACACTTTCTTGTCAAAGGAATCTCCGGCTTAAATCGCGCTCTAAAATGAATATCTTTGTTAAGACAAGCGATAAATATATGAATATTTTTTACACCATTCGAACTCACAACAGGAAGTCCATTTCATTTTATCCCATAGTCATAATCTTTAACTTTCGAAACGTAAAGTAACACAAGCACACACAGTGGGCACTAAAATTTTATGGCCAGTCCATAAATTATTAATTATTGAAACGATCAAAAACGAGATCGAATAGGGCAGATTTCTTCTGCCCCCTCTCGCTCCCAATCAACGATATTTGCCGATTCCGAATGCAAATTGAAAAGACCTCAAAATAGAATTGAAGCCAATAAAGGAAGTACCAGATGAAATATGCTTATGAAATATTGCTTGAGTGCACATCGATTGAGGACAATACAAAAACATTAAAAAACAGATACGAAACAATTAAAGCAATTAGGTATGATCGACGAGAAAATACCCTGCACACAGATCTAGGCTGTATATGCGAATATACATATTGTATATATATATATAATATAAATATCGTAGGTCTAAAAACGTTTTGTCAACACAACAATAATAAATCGATATAAAATATAAAAAACATTAAAACATTAAAAAATGTGGTTTAAAGTGCATATTAATCTGGAAAATATGAATTTTTCGCTTTGTCAAAACAATTTCTTGACATACTGTATACTGTGTACTATATGCTTTGAAGGGAGCGGGAATTACATTTATTTGTCCAACTTTTAGACGCTTTCCACAGAGTTTTATGGAACCAGGGTATGAATAGAAAAATATATGCAAACAGTCATAAATTCAAAGCTCATTGGCGACAATTAAAAGCCACGCATAGTTAATGTCCAAGCAATTAAAAATTGAAATATGCTAAGCGACTTTCCACCAAAACACATAAAAACTATACAATAAAACTTTATAAAATATTATGCGATAAAAATAATAAAAATAAATGTCAACTGAAAAATGCCTTTAAACGAAAGCCAAACAAAATGTTCAATTGTCAAGCCGCAAGCTCGCTTGTTGTTTGTTTTTTTTTTCCAAACATAATTGAAAATTAAGGCAGCTGCCTTAATTTATCAATATACAAAATATGAGTCGACGACCCGGCCCGCGCTCAGGGCTCAGGTTCAAGCTCAGACTGACAACTTTTGAATTTATGACACCATTTATAGGCGATAAGCGGCCCCAAAAGATTCAAAATCAATGCGGAACCAGCTCGGGGCGGCGCGTTTGGCAACTAATTTAAATTGAAATTACATATTTCATTTGAGAGTTGTGTAAATATTTCAAATATTTTCAATCGAAACCAATCAAGTGTCGAAAATATTAATACGCAAACGAGCTAATGGGCAAGCAAAATGATCGAACAACTCTTAAAGCGCGTTCAATAATTTGAGCATTAGCTTAAATATATGTAAAAATATGCGACCATACATATAATATATATATAATACTAATGTGCATAATATCTGGCACATTAGAGTGCCTAAATCAGCCAAAACAGGTTCTTTTGAGTGAACCAAACGGAATCCATAAAATCCAAATGCGAACTGGATCCGAACTTTCAGTTTTACTGGAGATAATATATAAATCCAAAATCCGAACTGGATGCGAACTTTCAGTTTTACTGGAGATAACAGATAAAACTTCCGCCTAATTATTTTCTTTACCCCAAAACGATTCATTTATACGTTTTTCTAGAATCTTTGTTATATTTATCCAAAATATTATTTGATTTCCTATTGGTTACGCCTTTCCATGTATTTAAACTTTTTCAATTTATTTAATATTTTTTACCCCATCCATTCTACTTGGTAAAGCTTTTCACTTTTAACCCTCTATTCCTCTCTCTTCTAAATATATTTTCTCTTCGGCATTCCTTTAAGATGTTATTCAAAATAAACCTATACCTCAATTCTCTTAAAATCCCAGCTCTATATATTTGCAGACTCGCCTGAAATTCCCCCATGCTGGTCAAAATGTATTTACATAAAAATAACTTAACGATGATTTCATTTAAATTACGATTTATTGTAGTCGAACTAATTTATCAATTTTTTTGTTTTTTACATAACGCTCGACATAAATAAGTTTTAACAACTCCTACTGTAACAGAAAAAAATGGGCCGTGGCTGGGTTTTATGCTAATTTCTCGCTTTGAATTCGTAATTTATGAAAATACCAAAAAAAACACCCAAATCAAAATATTGATCTTTTACAATTCCACCTGCTGTGTCCCTAATGATGTCAGTTAAAAAATTAAATATTCCGAACATGCCGCACGCCAAAAACACTTTTGAATCCAAATGGAAACTCGCACCGAAATTCGCACAAATCGATTACAAACCTCGCTTTTTGTTTTTTTTTTGTCTATTTCAAAAAAAAAAAAGAAATAAATAAAAATAACATAAAATTTAGAGCGCTGTCCGCCAAACTTGGAGCTAACTCAATTTACAACTTTTCGAAAAGCATAAAACGAGCAAAGTTTTCAAGTTGAGCATGGCGCTCGCAGAGATTTGTTGGAATCGTTCTTTATATAGACAGACTAATGACTGGCTCTGGCTGGTGTCATTTCATGCCTTTCAGTTGTCAAATTAAAGGCTATGCAATGCTCACACCAAGAC